AAATAAAAAGAGTTCTACATATATATTGTAATATGATATTGACAAATATAACTTGTTCGAAAACCCTCCTAGAACGCGTCGTCCTCTTTTCGTTCGTTACTTATCGACAGTATTGATCATATATGACAATACACTGCAAGAGTATGCAACTATATTTGCATCTAGACGTTCTCCGTCTTATTGAAGTACTCAAAACTTTTTGTATCTCATATTGTTCTGTTCCTTTCCTTACCATGTTCTTTATACGATCTCAGAGAGACCTTTCCCTTTAGAAAGCTTGTCGTCAACAAACACACACAGCTATTAACCGCTGCTGTTGCTGTATCACTGTATATTGCTTTCTGTTATTAACATTATCGATCTCTAGTAGGCCATAGTAAACATACCTCTATGTGCATCACGTTTCCGATAGTAATTAACCTGGAGTCTGTCGCTCGAAGACGTGTCGTAACAGCTTTGTTTTCATTTAATAAACGCGCTTATCGATCATATATGATAAAGGAGCAGATTTGTGTTATCTAATACGAGCGCAATGAAAAGAAAAAAAAAACAGTTGCGAACGATAAACAGCGTTAGTGCAACAAAAAAAAAACATAATAAGATAAGCGATATTTATATTACTTTTTTAGATAATAATTTAGAAAATCAATGTGTGTGTGTGTTAGCGCGGATTTTCCTTTAATCGCCGTTTTTTAAGATTAGAGATACAACGTTAATTGCGACACGAGGTATCCGTAAAAGTTTGCCGTTAAAACGGCCATACCTTACACAGGTGTAAGCGGGGAAAGAGGGAGACTCGTGGTAATGGAACAATTACCATACTGTCTGCATAACTCGCGATGGAATTCGCCGGAATTCGCAGAGAAGAGAGGAGAAGACCGGCTGCGCGCGAGGCGACGACAGTCATGGCGTCGCGACGCTGTGACGAAGAGGTTAACATTGCTTACCGGGGAGAATTAGATATCGTCCGCCGAAATTGGAAAACTTTACAGTAGAGAACTCTCTTAAATACCTTCTGTTTTTTTGTTTTGTTTTTGTGAGGATAAATTTCTAATATTTGTATTCACACACGCACGCGCGCACGCAAAGGATAATCTTGAAGCTATAAAATCAAGTTTTCCGAAGCGTTACGCTTTGGGGATATACACTGACAATGGGAATTATTTATGTCATACGGTGTTTACAAGCGCAACTGGATTTTTATGATTATCAATATCACAGCAATTTTGTTTGATTTTTTGTGCATCAATTATCGCACACAATATAATTTTTACAACCATTACGAAACAATAGCTGCAGTTAATAAACTGTAAATACTAAAACGCACTGTACCGCAAAGTTGCACAAGTGGAGGGATATAATTATTATTTGTGTGTGCGTTATACATATATATACGTAGGATAGAAGTCCGCAATCCTCCCAATTAAAATGAAATTGTACCAAATATAATTGCTTTCTGTCACATTGAAGCACATCTCTCTCTCTCTCTCTCTCTCTCTCTCTCTCTCTCTCTCT